TCATGGGTCACCAGATGTTTCTCCAGTGGTCTACCATCTATGGCCTCAACGGCCAAGGGTGTATCCTTTCGGATCAAATTCAGGGCTGCGGTTTTGGCAAAGGTCTCATCCATAAGGTTGTCTGCCGCACCCGAATCGATTAGGGCTTTGGTTGTTACTGTTGTTTTTTTTTAACCAAAAGAGAAACCGTAATAAACGGTCTGGAGATGGACACATGAGGGGACAAAGTCATAACACCCGAGGCCGACCCCTCTCTAGGCCTTAGGTGCTGCAGTTTCCCTGTACTTTAGGTCAGGCTTTACAGTGGTGCCCCCTCTTCCCACAATAAAAGCATAACCCCTCCCTTCTACGGTACACTCTTTCGGCCTCAGTTAACCCCGTAGCACCCAACTGCATGGGTTCAGGGGATGGTTGCCTAGGAGCGGGTAACGCTAGCAGTGCAGTACTGGGTAGAGCAGGTAACACCCGTGTATCCAACCGTCTTTGACTACACCTCTCTCTAATACGGTTATCGATAAGAATCACATAGTCTATAACATCATCTAGAAGAGCAGGCAATTCCCTGGATGCTATTTCATCCAGTATATAAGCGGCCAAACCCTCCTGAAAGGCTGTTACGAGGGCGTCATTATTCCAAACCACTTCAGCTGCTAGAGTGCGGAATTCGATAGTGTAATCTGCTACAGATCTGTTACCCTGTCGGACCCTAAGCAGAGCCTTGCCAGCAGAAGCAACCCTACCGGGTTGATCAAACGTGCGTCTGAAAGCTGTCAGAAAATCTGCAAAGGACATAGGAGACGTATTTTCCCAAATGGGGTTGGCCCATGCTAAAGCTCTCCCGGACAAGTGGTTTATCAAAAAGGCAATTTTAGATCTGTCAGTGGGATAGGAACGTGGATTCATCACCAAATGGATGTCGATTTGGTTGAGGAAACCACGACACAATGCTGGGTCACCGCTGTAGCGCTGTGGCGGCGTCATGTGAACTACATGAGCGGGAACGGGTACTGGAGTGGGAATGGGTTCGGGCACAGCAGCAGCAGCCTCCTGAACGGCAGGTTGCAAGTGTGCAGTACGAGCCAGTATGGTTTGCAAAGCTTGAGCAAACTGATCCATACGGTGGTCCAAGCCATTCATTCTAGCCTCTTGATTAACTAGGAGCTGTGGTATGTCAGCAGGTTCCATTATGGCCCTGTTGTAATGTCACGATTCGGGGAACCCAACACGCTGGCACACACACACACACACACACAGAAAAGGGGCCGTACCGGACCTTAGAGTGGCCAGGCTAAGCACACACAGAATAGTCAGGAAACAAGCCGAGTAAGGGGAACCAGAAGACAGAATAACGTGAAACGAGCCGAGGTCAAAGGGTAGGAGAAAGTCACAGAGTCAGATAAACAAGCCAGAGAGTACGTAACCAGAAGCACAAGGTAAATAGCAATACTAGCAAGCAAAGACCACAACAGGGCAGGGAGGAACAGGAAAGGTAAGTATTTAAACCATAAGGTTAATTCTGATTGGATAATTTCCAATCAGAATTAACAATCACACGTGGGAGATATCTAGACCTCCCACTGTGATTGAGACACTGTGCCTTTAACGCCGGGTCAGGTGACTGACCCCGGCGTGTACTAACTTGGGCGGTCTCCCAGCGTGCAGCGTCATGTATGCTGCCGCTGGGGGACGTGGAGGAAACGGCGGGCGGCATCCGAGGCTGGAAGGAAGCCGCCCGCCGAGCCCACGAGGAGGAGGGGACCGCGGACGGCTGGAGGGTGAGTACCGCGAGCGGAGTGCAGCCTCCCCTCGCAGCCGCCCGCGGGATCCCGACAGCGTGGGTGCGTTATGTGTGTTGGATCTCAGTAACTGTTTGGGGACCCAGAGGGGAACAGAGTAATGTGGTGTGTTATCTTTTTCGCGGGTGGGGTTATGTGCCTTGTTTTTTGTTGTCGTGGTGTGTGTTGGTGAGGGTGGGTGTGTGCCCCCTCATAGAAACATAGAAACATAGAAACATAGAATGTGACGGCAGATAAGAACCATTCGGCCCATCTAGTCTGCCCAATTTTCTAAATACTTTCATTAGTCCCTAGCCTTATCTTATAGTTAGGATAGCCTTATGCCTATCCCACGCATGCTTAAACTCCTTTACTGTGTTAACCTCTACCACTTCAGCTGGAAGGCTATTCCATGCATCCACTACCCTCTCAGTAAAGTAATACTTCCTGATATTATTTTTAAACCTTTGTCCCTCTAATTTAAGACTATGTCCTCTTGTTGTGGTAGTTTTTCTTCTTTTAAATATAGTCTCCTCCTTTACTGTGTTGATTCCCTTTATATATTTAAATGTTTCTATCATATCCCCCCTGTCTCGTCTTTCCTCCAAGCTATACATGTTAAGATCCTTTAACCTTTCCTGGTAAGTTTTATCCCGCAATCCATGAACCAGTTTAGTAGCCCTTCTCTGAACCCTCTCTAAGGTATCAATATCCTTCTGAAGATACGGTCTCCAGTACTGTGTACAATACTCCAAGTGAGGTCTCACCAGTGTTCTGTACAATGGCATGAGCACTTCCCTCTTTCTACTGCTAATACCTCTCCCTATACAACCAAGCATTCTGCTAGCATTTCCTGCTGCTCTATTACATTGTCTGCCTACCTTTAAGTCATCAGAAATAATCACCCCTAAATCCCTTTCCTCATATGTTGAGGTTAGAACTCTATCAAATATTCTGTACTCTGCCCTTGGGTTTTTACGTCCAAGATGCATTATCTTGCACTTATCCACATTAAATGTCAGTTGCCACAATTCTGACCATTTTTCTAGTTTACCTAAATCATTTGTCATTTGGCTTATCCCTCCTGGAACATCAACCCTGTTACATATCTTAGTATCATCAGCAAAAAGACATACCTTACCATCAAGACCTTCTGCAATATCACTAATAAAAATATTAAAGAGAATGGGTCCAAGTACAGATCCCTGAGGTACCCCACTGGTGACAAGTCCAAGCTTCGAATATATTCCATTAACTACAACCCTCTGTTGCCTGTCACTCAGCCACTGCCTTACCCATTCAACAATATTGGAATCCAAACTTAAAGATTGCAGTTTATTGATAAGCCTTCTATGTTCAACAGTGTCAAAAGCCTTACTGAAATCTAGGTAAGCAATGTCTACTGCACCACCCTGATGTATAATTTTAGTTACCCAATCAAAAAAATCAATAAGATTAGTTTGGCATGATCTCCCTGAAGTAAACCCATGTTGTCTCTGATCTTGAAATCCATGTGTTTTTAGATGTTCATCAATCCTATCCTTTAGCATGGTTTCCATCACTTTCCCCACTACCCTCAGTTGGTGTGTGGTCGTGTCTCTCCCTAGTTCAGGTAGAGTCCCGTGTAACTGGGTGGATGTCCAAGGCCGTACCACTACACGGTAATTACCGGAGCGGCTGCAGCCGTAGTTCCCTCAGTAGTCTTGGTATACCTGGGTCTAGTTCAGGTCGTGGCCCTCGCCTAGCAGGATTGGTGATGTGAGTGTCTCTCGTGGTGTTCAACTAGGCTCCTTGTCCGCTGGGTGTGTACCTATAGTTGTGCACTCTGCGGTCGGGGTTATGTGCTAACGTATGCTCTCCGTCTGGGGTCTGTTACATTGGTCTCTTATTTCGTGTCGGTGCGGTCACCCTCTCTCGCCAGCCGGGGACACCTCGTCTTGCGCCTCTCATTGTCTTCTACATGTAGGTGCTGAGTACAGATGTTGGGGTCAGTTAGTGCCTTTACTTTCCCTTTTGAAGTCTTGTCTTCTGCGGGGTTTGTGCCAGTCTGTTTGTGGGGTGGGTATCTTTCGGGTCACCAGTGTGGGGGTAGTCTTAGTTATGAGTGTAACTGTCTGTCGATCGTGTAACCCTTGCTGTTCAGTGTGGGGTTTTGTGCTTGTTAGTCCTGGTGTGGACTTGTGCGGTCTATGTTTCGTGAAGCATATTGTGCATATACAGTTCAACACATTTTTTTTCTCCCCCTTTACCCTTTTTCCCTCCCCCTCCCATTTCTCCCTCCTTGTTTCTATAGCCTTCTCCTTTCTAACGCTCACTTTGAATGTCTTCTACCTTTTATTCCTCCCCCGTCTCATTTCTCCCGCCCAATTTTGCTGTATCCCCCCTCCATGGCCTGCCGATGCGTCCAGTTCTCCTGCCTGCATCCGGCTTCCGGCAGTCCAGCTAGGCGGGTGGCAATGGTTAATGCCCTCCCACCTGAGATATTATAGCTCCGGGCTATGTGGTTCTTCTCCTCCACAGAGGTCTGCATTGTCCCCCTTCTCCCTTAACCCCCTTCTCCCTTAACCCCCCTCCCCAATAGCTGTTCAGCGTGTCTTGGCTATCATTCCCCAAGGGCGGTGATGCCGGTCTCTCAGCATTTGGTCTGTGCTGTGTCCCGCCCGGTCGGTGATGTGTTGGCCAAGTTTGCAGTCAGAGGTGGGCTGATCGTGTCTATCGCATGTCGGCCACCTCCGTGTGCGGCAGGCCTAGTCTCCTCAGGAATACCGGTACCTCATCTGGCCATCTCACGGGTACCCATTCATTCTCACATCGGGCTAGCAGACTAAAGGGGAAGCCCCATTCATATGGTATATTTTGGCTTCTCAAGAGTTGGGTTATGGCCTTAGAGCCCTGCGAGCCTCTAGTGTGAGGTGTGACAAGTCCTGGTATAGGGCTACCTCAGCTTCCTGGAATGGCCAGCTTGGATCGGGCTTTGGACATAATAAGTTCTTTCACTTTAAATTCGGTTAGGCAACATATAATGTCTCTGGGTGAGTTGTCAATGGTTCTCGGTCGTGTTGCCCTGTGGGCTCTGTCAAATCTGATATTGGGTGGCGCATCTGGGCCCAGTATTTCTCTGAACAATGCGGTAAGTGTGGCCTCCACATTTTCCTCGTTATGTGGCTCAGGGAGGTTGCGCACTCTGATATTAGATCTGCGTCCTCTATTATCCACATCCTCTGCCTGCCTTCTGAGGTGTAGGAGGATGGTACCTTGTTGGTTGATAGCCAGGTTATTAGCTTCTATGCGTCCAGTCATCGTTTGTGCCTGGATGCGGGTGCCTTGCGCTGCTATATCACTCCCAAGCATGGCGACTTCCGCTCGGATCGCCTCATAGAGCGCGTCGGACGTATTTTTCAGGTCGGCTTTCGTGACCATAGTGCTAGTTAGGGCTCTAATATCTGCCCTGATGTCCGATAGGGACAGTGCTTGTGACTCCGTCTCCGGCGATGTGGTCGGTCCGTTGGCCATCTTTGGGCACTGCGTGTCACTTGGCGGCTTTCTCTGCGTTTGGAGGTATCCGTCTAGGAAGCCGCTTTGCGGGGTGTTCTGTTGCCTCCTGGGTGTTTGGTGGGTTTCCAGGCGTCTAGTGCGCCCCATTAGGACAGCGTTTGCTGCAGTTAGTGCGCCTTTTTTCGCTACGCGGGTCGGAGCTCCGGAGTTAAGCAGCCGTCGCCATCAGTGTTCAGGCCACGCCCCCCACTGCTGTATATTTTGCCTCTGCGCTTTGCAACACTGTATAACCCACACTATGAAGTAAAAGGAGAATCCTTGAGTAAATGAAATGTGCTTAGTGTATTTTCTGCTCCATTGCTGCAGGTCATACCAAGGCATTGGGTTGATAGATGAACACATCCAATGTTAGACAATGGAGACGGTTTAAGAAATTAACCCAAGTGATGATGTCATGTTCAAAACACTACAGATCAAATACAGCTCATCATATATCAACTTACAAAACTCAAAGTATCTGCAGGTCATTCTTATCCTGGTTTAGGTGTTTAAGATACAATAATCAGGATAATACTTATCAAGACGAGTGTCAATAGAAAGAGTAAAAAAGATAACTACAAGGAAAGAAATTATCTAAAATTATTTTTAAAAAAGGAAAGAAATTATCTAAAAATAACAATATAACAAAAAGTTAACACTGCGTTCAAGATGAAATTTACTAAAAAAAAAAAGTTGGATAGGTAATCATTCTGAGATTATATTCTCTCAACAGAAATGATTTGAAGGACCTCATCCTTCCAGTCAAGCAAGGTGGTTAAAGAATGATAGTAGTAGATTAGTTTGGTGACTTATGAGTGGGTTGCTTCATAATTACTTTCTGCAGTGTAATAAAAAAGTCATAGGAGATTTCCACAATCTGGCTGTAAAACTGCCACACACACCACCACATTATCTCTCCTAAGGAGCCCCACCCCTTTATTATATTTCCATCCTTTGAGTTAGGCACAGTGTACCGGAGGAGGGAGAGGGAGGCTTTGCTTTCCTATGTGTTGGGCATCCCATTCATGTACACCACTTGCTCTCGGAGGGAACACTAAATTCCATGGAGATGTTGGCACAAGATCATGCACTGGTACTCTTAGAATGTTTTTGCTTTTATCAGCTGAGTCTTTTATTTCGTACTGCCCCTTGAAAACAACTTATGGGATGAGCTCTTACTATTTTTGAGATCTAATTTGTTAATGTCTCATTGACTTTCTGTTCTGTACCAGCTAGTCTTGTTAGGAGACCAGCCTTCAATACCAAGATTCAAGGGCCTCTGGGACAGAGCTCTCTGGACTGAACTCACCAATAAGCAATGGTAGCAAATTATGACTTTAACTCACCAAAGCACTATGGTTCCAGGAAATAAATTATAAATTCTAACTTGCAGAGCATATGATCACTTTGGCTCCCAGGGCATGGGCATGAGATCTTGTCCTGTGATCTCTGCCTATTGGAAGCAGACTTTTTATTTCATTAAACTGATCAATGAGTAACCACCGCAACTGCATTACTCAACCATGCCACTCTGCCCTATAAAAAGTCACTTACTAAGCACTACTTGATAGCGGGTAGGAGTTTAATTTCGCTCTTCTAGCAGCAGCGGCCCATGCCAAGGATTACCTGCTGCCTTGGGAAAACTGAAGAAATCCGTTATATGAAGTCTCTCAGCTGAAATCTTTATTACTCAGGCTTGACAACACATCTGACCCAGTTCGATGCACTTGGCATTGGGTTGATCTGCAGTTGAGTACTTGAGTTACTAAAGGGGACTGGGATTAGTCTAAGAGGACGGTGGAGGGTGATGGTTTTTCTCTTTCCTTTTCTCCTTGGTTTCTTCTTTTTCCCTACCTGTCAGATGATGCTGAGCCTATGAAAGTCAGGATGTTCTTCACTTAATTCTTTGCTAAATGCCTATTTGAGGATTTTGCAAAACGTGCGTGAGTAAATTGCTTTGGGTATATGGGGATTCAATGGACTATGTTTTTTGTGAATTGTTTGGGACACTCTAAACTTACTTATGACATACCCCTTTTTGCATATTTTTTGAGTTTTTTTTCTGACATGTATCATGAAAACCTCTCTTTTCATTAAAATAAAGATTTGCAAAAAAATTTCAGTTATCAGGTCATAAGCAAACACGTGTCGCAGGTCATGCAACAAGGCAGTGATTCCAAAACTATTCCAAAGGAATGCTATAAATTCATGGCTGCAGAAGAAGTATGTTTTTGACCACATTGGACACATTGGACACATTTTCATATTATGGCAGGAACTAGATCTGGCTGAGGTATGGGAGCCCACACAAAATGTCACCAAGTGAAAGCAAAACTGATTCTTGAGGTCACAGGTGCTCAAATGGGTGCCGCCAGGCCCCATATCTAGAGTTTTACATACATGAATTGTGTGCAAAAAACCTAGACTTTTCAGAAGCAAGTATTTAATATGTAATTAGCCTGTTTTTAGTTATTTTATATGAAGTTCTCTAACCAAGTCTCCTATGCACCATTCGCTTCCTTTACAGTCTTTCAGCAAGCTTGTCAGAATTATCTAATCGATGCTTGCTAAACACCTGACTGATTCTTTTTTAATTACTCTAATAAAAATTATTTAGAGACAAGGCCAAAGCATCTATTACATCCATCATAAGATTATCTATTATCTAAAAATTAACATAAATAACAACACTTCATAAATACATCTTCTATTGTAATATTTTAACAGTAACATTTGCCAATACCATTCGAGTATTTCTACCATAGTAGGGTCATGGGACTCTCTTAAAGCTGCACTGTCTGGTAATTGATTTCCCAGTGACCACTGAAAGGAAAATCTGTTCTTAAAGGCTATGTCTCATTATTGGATCATTGGTTATAACCACTTGTCATTGTCACATGCCTAGAGCTTCTATACAAGAAGTCAACATTTAAGGAACACTGTAGGCACTACAACCAATACAATTTATTCTCATGTAATTGGTTATAGTGCTTGTAACCCCTGGCACTATACAACACGTAGTTTAACACTACATGTGGGTTCCTGGCTTCCCATAGCCCCATCCCCATTGGAGGTGTGGTTAATGTAGAGATTATATACTTCCTTCTTGCCATACCTATTTATACAAGCTATTGGTGCTGTGATACATGGAAAAGTGAATGGTTTATTTACTTAAATGGTGGTCTTATGTCTCTTGTGTAACAAAAATCATAATAAAAAAAAATATAAGAAATATTTGTTTTTCTTTCACATACGAAGTTGTCAGGATAAAAAAACAAAGCACCTAGCCATTAAATTGTATTGGAACATGCTTACATTTGGCTGAGATAGATAGAATACTTATATTGTTTCAGTCTATGCATTTCTCAGCTGAAAATGTGTCACTCATTACTAGCACTGCGTGTAGGCTAAAGATGTCTGCCAGCGTATCACAGATTTCCAGGGACATATCCTGTCCTGTATCGTCTTTTTTATATTTGTCTGTACCACCAATTGTAATAGTTTCATATTTTAGCATAATATATTGTATTAGAGCAGGGCTAGTGTAAGTCATTAAACTAAGCTGGTTTCTGCATGCACAGTAATCCATCATTTGCAATGTGTTTAAACACTTTCAGTGCCAAAAGTGTGCCACAAACAATGATCTGCAATGTTCTGGTACTCAAAGAGTTAAACTAATAAAATAAGGTTGTTGTTTTTTTTTTTTTTTGAGCACTCAATCTTACAATCACTGTGAATCATTAGTAGTTTGATTTTCAGCACTTTCCATTTACATATTTGCACAGTAAATTATAGCATTTATTATATAATATACTTGAATTATGGTCACATAATTCTGTTCATAAGAAATATCATTAAAATCTTTATATCTTTGAATGAACACTACAAGCACAATAACCACTTCAGCTCACTTAGCGTATATAGTACCAGGAGTGCACTGTCCGTTCCTTTCTCCCCTCCCGAATGTAAGTATTCAAACCTCTTTTGAATGGTTTGCCCACTTGTCTGGGGTCCATAGAGTGCTGCTGCAGGGCTGGCACTGCACCAAGACTCCCTCAATGCTGCGGCCCTCTCTGCCTTCCACAACATTGACATCTCTAGGATGGACGTTCAATGCAATACTCCTCTTACTGGTCCTTTAAAGTAAAACTGCAGTGAAAATTAGATCATCAGCCAATGAGCTTTGCCATGCAGTGCTAGGAACTGCTAGCTCTTATGCGCTAGTAGTGGCAGCTGTTAGTGGTGCCTGGCAAACTACAGGTAACAAGTCAAACCATTCAAAAACCATTCCAGGACCGTAACCGCTAAAGTGAGATGTAGTAGTTATGGTGCTGGTGTGTTCCTTTAATACCTGTATTGTAATTCCGTATGTCAAACCATATAAATAATTTTTCCATGATTCCCATTGTAGTCCTTTTTGTGTGAACAATAGCCTGTTGAATGTAACCATTTGTGACAATATTTAGATGAAGTCTAGATTATGTGGACAAAGTGGCTTCAACTAAAAGAGACCATTAATAATTCATGAGTAATTTCACCTGACAACCACACATACAAAGGTTCTTTGGTAACATTATTTAGTTAACAACTCTTTGCAGTTCAGCTTCAGGGTGGTTTAATAAATACTACACATAACACACCACTCACAATGTCACTCAGAGTCTGTAAAAATATTTACAATGAAATCTGAACATTATTGATGCCAGTGACAGATGCCTTCTCTTCAAATGTAACATTAACATTATTTACTGTACTATATTATTCTTCACATCCAAATATAATGCATTTACCATTGTTTGCTTAGTACTGGAAAATAGAAGACAGCCATAAAGCATGTTACATAATAGTATATTGAGATTTTAATAAACCACTTAGTTCAATATAAACTAGCAATTTCAGAAAATTAAATAAATAAGGAAAGTCTTTGTATGGCTTACATCCTACTACGGAAGTGCTTACCTTTCATTCTACTCCATATTTCAGGCCCACAATCGACCTCTTCCTCATCAAGAAAAATGCATTTTAAAGCATTACAACATTTTCGTGGAACTCCATCAACAAGGGATACATTTTTCAAACAAATGATAATGATGATATCTCACACTCAAAACCTTTCATTCATGCTCAGTGTATTAAATATATTTTTTTGCAGGGCGTGGCCTGGATGCTGAAGCGGATGGTCGCACTGCACTAGCATTCCGCTCCGAAACTAGCCAAACACCACAGAATTCCCCTTCCACCCGCCTCACCATTATGGCACAGAAAAAGGGTAAGAAAAACCCTGAGCGGGGGGAAAAAATTGGCTTTTTTACTGCGCGATCGGCGCGAAACAAACCCCCCGGCCCACACGCGGCAGACCAAGATGGCGACGGAGACGATACTCTCCCCCTGCAAATCTTGCCTGACCCAGGGAATATCCCGGTCACCCAAGATATCCTGAAGGCTTGCCTAGAGGAAATGTCCGACAAGCTGCTGAAAAATATGCAGTCCTCAGTATCTGCGCTCAGCAAGGACATCCAGGAGCTCGGCGAAAGAAAGGCCCAAGTGGAGCACCGCATGGGTGAATACGCAGAGGCCCATAACGATCTGGCAGACCACGTGCAAGCTCTGGAGAAGCAACTCACCTCAGCCCAACTCAAATCTTCGACCTTGAAGATCGTTCACGTCAGCAAAACCTGATAGTATGTGGCATCCCGGAAACGGTAACGCAGGCAGATATACCTGAATTCTTGACCAGGCTTTTCAAATGTCTACTACCCAATATACCGACAGATATGCTACTTCTGTAGCTCACCGGGAAGCTAAGCCGAAGTTCTTACTGGTTGAGGCCGCGCAAGACAATCTGACCCACCTCCACTACTACCACGTAAAAGAGGCCATAATGAAGGCAGCGAGAAACCGCGCAGACCTCCCACCACAATACAACCACCTACAGATATACGCGGACCTCTCGTTACCTTACAACGGAGAAGGGAGTTTAAGGAGGTTACAGATGCCCTTTGGGAGCATAAGATTCTCTACAGGTGGAGACACCCTGTACGCCTAAATATCCAGTGCAATGGAGTCTTCACCTACGCAACGTTCCTGGAGGAAGGGATGACGGCCCTCAAGACGTGGGGCCTACCTGTCCACAAACAGCCTGGAAAAACCGCCTCACCACAGCGAGTAGAGCACGACTGGAAGAAGGTGAAAAAGTAGTCTGCACACCAACTTCTCATATCTACTCATATTACTATATACACAGTGAAAGGAGGAGCAGGAGAGCGAAGGACCTAGACACCTACACTCACAACACGCACCTCCAGGACCTTTGCTCCTTTATCACTGACAAATCTCTGAAGCCGGTACGGACGCAACTACATCATGAGAAGATGCGCTCCGCCTCGGGTTCCAGCCTGGCGCAGTGCCCACAGTTCCAGAGAACCGTAACTGCAAGCATACACCACACCACTGCTTTACACTTCACAAATGTTTAACATCAATAGGCCTTACAGAGACATGCAGGGAGAACGTCCAACCAGCACTATCAGCAATACCACAAGCATTTCACCACGGCCCTCCCTTCTTGAAAGTACTTAGTCACAATTTTAGGGACCTGAATACCCCTGTTAAACGCCACCTCCTGTACCTTGACCTCCAAAAGTCCTCACCTGATGTTGTGTGCCTCCAAGAGACACATCTAACCAAACCGCCCAACCTCAAACCCCTCACTTACCCACACCAATATCACGCCACTGCAAAATCTAAAACAAAAGGGGTATCCATACTGATAAGAAACCGAGTAGCATTTACAGAACATGACCTTGTCATAGACGCAGTGGGCCGCTACATCATACTAATATGCACCATCAATGACATCACCTCCACAATAGCGAACATATACGTGCCAAACTCAGAACAGCGTAACTTCCTACACAGGACCCTGGCTAAACTGACGCCAGTCCGGAGGGGAATGCTGATACTATGTGGGGACTTTAACCACATTCTCGACCCTAGTTTAGACTTATCAAAAGGGCCAAATGGGCAGGGCCCACCACAAGCCAGGAGAACTTGCAAAACATACCAGAAACTGTTAGATGAACATAACCTTTATGACACACGGAGAGTCCTTCACCCCACGGAGAAGGACTTTACATACTTCTCCTCAGTCCACAACTCCTACACCCGAATTGATAGGTTTCTCATAGAGAATAAGCACCTAACGCAGGTCCTCTCTTACCCCTATAGCTACAGCGCCCATCACAATCTAACTAAAAGACAAATTTGAAAGCCACAATAGAATCCCATGGCACCTAAATGAGATGCTGCTACATGACCAAACTTTTGTCAAGCACATAGAAGACTCACTCAGACACTATTTTAGAGAAAATACAGCACCAGGTATATCCCCGGAAACCACCTGGTTAGCACACAAGCCTGTTATTTGGGGAGAATTGATAAAAAGAGCCCACATCCCATGCCCAACATACCACCTGGTATAAGCTACTGCACGACTTTAATAAACTGAACCAAACACACCCATCCACAGAGTTGAAACACCAGATCTCAGAGACGCAGAACAAGATACAGACCTTGGCGCTTACTAAGGTGGGATACGCGTTGAGAAAATTGAAAGCTACGCAGTATTCCTAAGGAAATAGAGTGAGCAAAATCCTCGCCCAAAGACTCAGGGATAGACAGGCCACGTCTAAAGTAGCATAGATAAAATCGCCAACCGGTGACAGACTAATTGCCCCAAAGGCTATCAGCGATGAGTTCGCATCATACTATGAATCCCTATACAATCTGAGAGACAACTCGCTCACGCCCACCACATCCCCCGCGACAATCAACGAATACCTGCAAGACACCCCTCTACCACTCCTCTCACCAGCACACAGAGAGACCCTCTCAGCCCCCATCACCCAACAAGAGGCTAAAACCACAGTAAAAGCACTCCCCACAGGGAAAGCCCCAGGCCCGGATGGATTTGTCAACGCATACTATAAATTATACGCCGATATTTTATCCCCAGCACTAACAACCCTGTTTAATAATGCCATCTATAAACACTCGTTGCCCACAGAGCTCCTACAGGCTCATATTACTACCCTCTCCAAGCCAAGGAAACTCCCAATCACATGTCCAAACTTCCACCCTATTTCCCTGATCAACACGGATGCCAAGCTATTTGCGAAGCTCCAAGCCAACAAACTTAAAACCATCCTCCCAGAACTTATCCATGACGACCAGGTGGGGTTCATGGGGGGCAGACAGGGTTCAGATAACACCCGCAAGGTACTGGATCTCATGCATAGCACTAGGAAAATGAGGATCGGAGGCCTATTCGTGTCCCTAGATGCGGAGAAGGCCTTCAATAGATTAAACTGATCATTCCTAAATAGGGTACTCCTCAAATTTGACTTCACCACACAATTTATCGCAGCGGTAGAGGCTCTATACAGTACACCCTCAGCACAAGTCCTCTATGCAGGATTCCCCTCACGCAAGATAAACGTCAGCAATGGCTCCAGATAGGGATGCCCTTTTCCCAGTTGCTCTATGTCCTAGCCCTGGAGCCATTGGCTTCCAAGATTAGAGCATACCCTAACATTCATGGCATACCCCTTGGAGCCAAAGACTATAAACTAAACATCTTTGCGGACAACATATTTCTCACCCTAACTCAACCGTTCATATCTAGGCCCAACATTATGCGACAAATTGAACTTTTTGGCCACCATTCATACTATAAACTGAATGTCTCCAAAACACAAGCGTTGACGGTAGGAATGGGGGGAGGAGAGAAATAGGCTAAAAGAGGCGTTCCCTCTGGACCGGATATCAGACCACATAACATATTTAGGAATCAAACTCACAAAGAAACCCTCAGGACTATTTCGAACGAACTACGCTAGGACCCTAAAAGTATTAGAAAACACACTCAAGTCATGGGAAGGGAAATTCCTCTCATGGCTAGGCCGCATAGCAGCCATTAAAATGTCACTGCTTCCAAGATTGCTGTACCTCTTCAGGACATTACAGGGGGGGAGCTAAACACAGCGGACCGAGCTAAACACAGCGGACCCTCCATGAGGATAGACTATCCCAGTCCTTCCCCTCCCCCCTCCAGCACAATCCTCTCTCCCAAGATGCGGAGAAGAATACGAAACTGCCTCTGGATCCCCTCCCACTCTACTCTTTCCCCTCTTTTCTCCTTTCTTCTATACTGAATGTTATACAAAAAATATTTGGAGCATGCGATATGCAAAAGTAAGCGATCCCAGTTTGCTTACATGCGATGCACCTCCGAAATAGTACGTCTCTAGCATAAATATTGTAAAAATGTATGTATCTCAACATGACGTCTACCGAATGTATTCACATGATCTAGATGTATACGTATGACCCAATAAAAATTGTCAAATTTAAAAAAATATATATATTTTGCAAGAAAATAGAACATTCACATAAGTTATAGTACATTTAAAAATATTTATAGGGTTATTCACTAAGATGAGAATTCAAACTGAACGCAAAGTGAATTTCAAAATTAAGGACAAAATGAACAAAATTGAAAAGGCTGTGCTTTCAGTGTGACAATACATTTGGAATCCACTTTGAATTCACTTTGAATTCTCACTGTAGTGAATAACCATGTTAGTTAACTTTAAATTAGCAAAGGCTGAATGCCCTTATTATTCATTTTCCCCATCAGCAAACATTTATTTCTCATACATTATAGTCATCAAAGCTTCTTTAAAAAGAAACAGGACATCTAAGCATAATAGTTACACTATGTACACTGTTTATCCACAACATTAAAACCACTGACAGGTGAAGTGAATAACATTGATTAAATTGTTATAATGGCACGTGCCAAGGGGTGGGATATATTAGACATCAAGTGAACAATCAGTTCTTGAATTTCATGTGTTGGAAGCAGGTAAAATGGGCATGTGAAAAGATCTGTGTTACTTTGACAAAGGCCTAATAGTAATGGCTAGATGGCTGGGTCAGAGCATCTCCAAGACAGCAAGTCTTGTGGTATGTTCCTGGCATGCAGTGGTTAGTATCTATCAAAATGAATGCATGGAAGGACAAGTGGTGAACTGGCTATAGGGTCATGGGCACCCAAGGCTCATTAATGCTCATGGGTAGTGAAGGCTAACCCGTCTAGTCCAATCACATAGAAGAGCTACTGTAGCTCAACTTTCCGAAATACTTAATGCTGGCCATGACAGAAAGGTGTCAGAATACACAGTGCCTTGCAGGCTGCTGCATATGAGTCTCCATAGCATCAGACTAATCAGAGTACCCATGATGACCCCTGTCCACCAGCTCCTTTAATGTGAACTTGAGCAATAGAACTGGACAATAGAGTAATGGAAGAAAGTTCCCTGATCTGTTGAATTACATTTCCTGTTATTTATGTGGATGGCTAGGTGCATGTGGGTTGTTTACCTGGGGAAGAGATGGAAGCAGGATACACTATGGGAAGAAGGCAGGCCGGTAAAGCTAATGTTATGCTCTGGCAATGTCCTGCTGGGAAACCTTGGGTTTTGGCATTCATGTGGATGTTACTTTGACATGTACCACCTACCTAGAGATTGTTGTAAACCACGCATACCCTTTCATGGCAATGGTGCTCCCTAATGGCAGTGGCCTCTTTCAGTAGAATAATGCACTCGGCTACACTG